TACAGTTCCTATTTCATTAAATGAAATACTGCCAATTTTCCAATTTTATTCCCAAGCTTATGACCCGACACTTTGTCAAATTGCCAATCCAATTTAACAGTAATCTGAGCGCTCACAAACCATGTAGGAGTTTGAATTAGGAATACATGAGTTAGCAATTCTTAATACATTATAGTTTACATAATTACTATTTGTAACGATTATTAAAATTATCTATATCTTAAATGGTCCTATTAAATAAATTAACCTAACTTAATTAACCGTTTATGTGACGATCCTTTGTTTCGCCGACTATCTCTGTGTGGTATTGTTGAAAACAAAACCCGCTGAATTCGTAGCAAACAAAGAGATTCATTAATGTTTTCAGTAGAGTGCAATTTCAACACTATTGATTTTTAATCATGCTGTCTGTTCATTTACAACTCTTTTTTGTAAATATTATATCATGCGAAGAGAAACTTTTTACTGCTAATTACTAAAATGTTAGTTTATATAGTTTTTGTTGTAAACATTCTAGAAAGTTATATCGTAAACGTAACAGTATCATAAAAGAAATCTTGTCTACGTCAAACCGCATTATTAATAACAAGAGACCTTAAAAGCTTATCATAGTATTATAATAGTTTGACTTAATAATAACTGACGGGAATAATCTAACTAATTTCGAATTGTATTTGATTTGTTGTCGGAAGCAAATTGCGGGTTTAGAACATTAAAATTGAATGGCTGCCTGTGACGTGACGATATGCCACTGAAATTAATTGCTACAAGAAGAGAATTAATATAAAGCTAATTATTGTATTTCCATAATTCAAATATCAAAATTCAATACTGATATAAATTTAAATTAATTCCATTTAAAATTTACGATTTATGATCATTATTTATTCTACGAGGTAATTAACTTTTGAAATTAAAGTAATATATCTTAAGAATGTACTGGGGATTCTTCGGTAATTTGATATCTTACGTGGTCTGGATAGTAACCGTAAACATTAAGCAGTTTATGGGGTGGTTAATTTTAAAAGATATGGTCCTTGACTGAAAATTTGTTGGCCATTTAAGGAAAGAATAAAGAAATAAGGATTGACTTTTTAAATTAAACCAACAACTTTTTCTTTTAAAATGAAAAATGTATTCATTAAATCCTATTTAATATTAATAATAATTATTATCACTTCACTATGAAATAAAATTTTTATGCTCAAAATTTGTCAATTTAAATTAAAAAATAAAATATGTGTGCATCAATTGGGCAGTTGTTTTTTTAGTGCCCATAAAGTTCTCGAAACTTGGAACTTCGTCTCGAAACTTCGATTTGTTTTCTTAGATATCAAACGACTTTTATGGTTCCAATCGCGTGTACTATAAATAATTTAAGGAGAGAGGTTGCAGTTGGACATTCAACCTTCTTTCTTAAGTTTTCATTACTTTCCTTAAACCGATTTAACACTTAAAACTTAAGTATCCATCGAAATAAGCAATAACGTGATTAGTTTCTAGGTCACCTCATCAAATTAACCACGGTTCAATTTCAGGATTTAATGACATAACTCGGAACAAGTATTGTTCTGGTCCCACTATTCAAACTCATCATAACTTGATGTAGTGGATATCTCATTGTTAAAGGTAAATCCGACGAGAAATATGAAATAAACATTGATTTGGAAACTAATTTATAACTTTTTTTTGAGACACTCAACTTAAATCTCTAAATAACTTAAACCTTATAAGCTTTGGTCATTGAACTTCATGAGATAAATTGATGTAAGAAATTTTTCGTTTGTACGATGAATTGCTTAAACGAAAGTTAATTTACATCTGTTTAATGAGGAGATTAATGAGCAAAATAAGAAAATAACTTTGGTTTAAACATTAGAAGACGGATTATGTGGTATTTGTAGGTGTAAGTAAATATACCGGGCCTTGCATAATAAGTCCACCATTGAGAACTTGGAAATAGTAACAGATACAGATTTGGTTGGGTTATTCTTATATTGAATTATTGTTAGTAAAAAATATTCGAATTTAATTTAGTGCTTATTTATTATTTTGAATAACATATATTGAAAAATAATAACTTAAAAATATGTAACAGAATCGATTCTTTGTTTGGCACATTTTAAACCTCCGCTATATTTGACAATAAATGATGTTATAGCGAATATATTCGAATTTAACTCAACGCGCGAATCAACACAGGGCGATAGCGACAGCCCTGTAAGTTGCCCCGCAAGTGTGGGTCCAATTTTAAATATAAATACATAAATATTATGTTCGATTTGGGATCAGACACGAAGTAAAACAATAAAATAGCAAAAAGATGTTAAATAAAATGTTATGTAATATGAGTTTAAACAGTATCGTATACAAAATCGTTAAAACAAAATAAAGAAAAGGAAACGCTGTTAGATAAAGAGAAATAGAAAGTAAACACTATCAAAAGATGTTATTTAAAAAAATATATTTAAACAAAAATGTACCACACAAAAGTGTTGATATAAAGTTGTGCTTAAATACTGTCGGTACTAATATTTCGTTGCTTCATTAGGTTGGACGTTTCAAAACATTAGCTAGTTCGGAACATTCCAGAGTAACAATTTTTCACATTTGTGGCTATATGCTTCGAATCGCTGTTGTGCGGGAAATTCCAGTTTCTTTTGAAGCCAGCACGACGTACACCTGGTAGTAAACTATCGCGAAAAATGTCGATATATTTCCTGTGAACAAGCACCTTCAATAAACGTGATCTAATGTCGATATATTTTCTGTGATCAATTATACCTTCAATAAACGTGATATATTGTCGATATACTTACAACCTTCACATTTAATTATTGTTTGGCGGCTTTAAAACCTGAAAAGGTTTTCTCTGTACGTTTTTTAGGTATCTTCTTCCAGAACAGATCAGCTTAATCTACGTTGAATATTATTTGGCTGAAATACAATCCAACTCACCTTCTTCTATCATTGTCTTTAAATTCTCTGGATAATGCTTTGGATAGCTGATTCTGGTAGATTAAACCACTTTGCTAATTGACAAATTTTAGGTTTTGGAGCTTTTGTAATAAATAATATTAAATTCACACTTCAAGGCTAATAATTGTCTTTTCTTGTTTGATGCAAATGACATCAATGACAAGACATTGTTCCAAAATCCACCCAGCTCCAACACGTCCGAATCTCTCATTAGCCGAACACTGAGAGTAGACTGAGTGAATTACGAGTTGCGTCTACATAGACGAGAGTTTTAAATTTAGTATGAGACGATTGAAAGATTTTTATATTGCTTTCCGTTTCAGCTTATTTCTATTTCCTTCTTCATCTGCCAACAAACTACTAATGGTAATAAATTTATCTTCATTACTCATGTTAGCTACTAGTGCACGTCAAAATGAACATCAACCTATACAGCGATTAGAAATGAGGTGAATATGCGTATTGATCTTTCGAAAATCCATGTACTCCATAAGTAGTGGATGCTGCCTATTAAATAATTGCAATTCATTCGACACATTAAGTATTCATCATAACTGAGTAATTTACACCATTCTCTTTGTTCTCCTCGTTCTTTCTTTTAAACTCGACTTTTTAAGCATTAAAAGGTTTTGGAATGTTTAAAAATGTTTTTCTTTCTCCGTTTAGAAATCCCTCTCCATACTGAGGGGAAGATGTGAGACAATTCACCTTCTGTTACCTTGAAATGTGAGAACATAAAAACTTATTTCAGGTTAGAGAACAAAAGAAGATGTGGGCGAAATGGGGAGAAGTAATTTTGGGTTACCCTAGCGAGTTATAAATTAATTAATCACTTCTTCTGTAGGTCTATATTTGCCTGTACGTTCAGATAACTTAATCCTAAATCCTGAAAGCGTATAGTATTCTCCTGAAAGTCTGAAATTTCCAATCATGGTTCAATTAATTTTTTGTTTAACGAAAATAAATTAATTCTCGTCATTGGAGAACTGAAAATTGAAATTTGTGAAACGGTTTCAAGTTTAAAATTTCTCCTTAGTTAAATTTAATTTGAAATTAAAATTTTTATTCGCGTGGTTACATAATTATTCACCTACTAGAACTTTTAACCAGTTTCAAGTAACGAATATGTAAAAATTCTGACAGGATCCATCCGTTAAAAGTAAATCATGCATGATGAATATGTGAATATTAAAAAAGTCAATCTTTTTGTAGTGCTTTCTAATTTTTAACAACATTTTTTTATGAACAAAATAAATTTGATATCTTTAACTTATTTAATGTAATCGACAAAAAGGAATAAATCATAGCAAATGATAGTTGGTTTAACTTTCACGCTAATTCTACTGATAATGGCGTTTCGACAGCAATTAGTACACGCAACTTCAAAACTTTTGATTGTTGGAACTGTAATTACGACCACAAACTTTCCCAGTTACTATATGTTTCTTGAATGTTTCCTTTGGAATAATTAATGATCATTAATGTGCGGGGTAATACAAATAAATTTATTCAGCAACATTGTAGACGAGGTTATAGATAACCTAAATTTTGTGGGACTAATTCTTTAGTTAAACAATTAATTTGATAAAAACAAGCTTGAAAACGTTCATGAAAATATGATAGTCGTAAATATTCTAAACTGGGGAAGTCTTGAAAAAAATTCCATTTATCTTTGGTATATTGTTCATTTTCAGTGTTCTTTGTCCTTTATTTCGCTAAAAACACCGCGTGCATTTTGTAGTTTTATTGCCGAGTACACTCGGCGATACGCACGAACGATGATGTAGAATTGTGAATTCGGGGATACGTAAAAATGAACACGACCCCAAAAATAAAAATAAATTTACCAACTGGAAATGCTTTCTAGTGTTTCAGATATACTACAAAACCATTAGAACAGAAACTCATTATCGCAAACGATCGCAAACGTAATAGAAATGTTATTACCTAAGCCACATACTCATATTATCAGATTTAAACACAAACATTCCTTAGTTTAACGTTCATTAAAACTACATAAAATTGGTTTTTAATTTATTTAATTCAAATAATCTGATTCATTTTGAGTACACAAGTAATAATTACCCTTTGCAGAATAATTGGTTGCTATACCCATATATTGTACGTCATTATTTTCGCATTTTCTGTACTTAAAATCGGTGTAAGAATCACAACGATGGGCCGGATATCTTTGAGTATCATTAATACTTCTTGACATGTACCGAACAGCTTCATAATGACTACAAATTATACTCCCCAATCCGCTACAACTTGGTTGATTTTTACCGATACCACCATTGGGCCAAAAATCAACCGTACCAAGTGATTGTTTTGCACCAAAAATACCCTTACAAGTGTGAATGACGTCTACAAATTCGGCTACATTAGAATTAAGACCATCTGTGATTAACATGGTTAATGCAGGATCTAAACCTGTAACAAAATTAGTGTTCGCTAAAAACATTAATATTTTTACTAAAATAATTTGAAACTAACCTGAAACTCTCCCAACCGTTCCGTTTTTAGCATGTGACGCAGCATATCCCATTACATGACCACCCAAACTATGTCCTAACAAATGAATTTTGGTTCCATTATATTTACTATCAAACAAAAAATTTAAGAACTTCGCCACATAACCCCCAACTTCATTGATTTTCGATTGGGGTAGTGAGAAGATATCATTAGCGATATTCTTATAATCAATGATTATGACGTTTATGTCGTAGTGTTTCAGAAACGCATCTCTTAAAGCAATGCAAGAGAATCCACTTCCATTGTTTAAAAAACCGTGGGTGATTATTTTTGTGTCTTTGTTGAAATCAAATCCAGACGAGGTAAGATTTTTTACATCGAAACCAAGGTTACGCCAATCATATTTATTGTTACTAAAATACATAAAAAATAGAAAGGTATCGATGTATATATTAAAAAAAACTTACACTGTAAATAAGCGAAACGTTACGTCTTCAGTTAGATTACTCGTTGTCGCTGTATTAATTTGTAGTAAAAAGGTTAGGTTTAATAACCAAATTAAACTTAATGTTAAACGTTTCATGATTACACATGAACTAAAAACAATATCACTTATATATGTTTATTATGTTGTAACTTTCCGTTAATTTACCCAATACATTAGAATAAAAGGAATTTCACGAAACAATGGCAAAAATGTGCAATGTTTTTTCATGGTTAATATTTATGTTATGTTTTGAAAATATCTAAAGTATTACTGTTGTGATAATCGTCTACTACGTTGCATGATTTTATTTACAAAATTAACTTTGACCTTCAACGAATGCCATAGGAAATAAGTGCTTTAAGTTTTTCTGTCTGTAATTAATAATTCTTGTCTGCAATCTATTATTTTGAAAATTAAAGTGATTAATAAAAAAAATTATGTTGAGGAATAGTGTAAGATTTTACGCGTTTTTAAAAAATTATTGAAGGCAAAAATATGAGAAACTTGTGTGAGAATTTTTTCATTCGAATTTTACAGAAATGAATTACTAGGGTTTATCACTTACTATGTATGGCTAATTTATTCTTGTGATCAAATGCAAATAATAATTGTCTTTATAATACTGCTAGGTATTACAAACAATTATGATTCCAAAACCGAGAGACCCAACTAATGTGACGTTATGTCGGTCCATTAGCTTTCAGCGTTTGTTTTCCAAGGTATTGGAGAGGGTTCTGTGGAGTAGACTGAGGATACTCTATGCAAGAAGAAGCTAATTCCAGATTACCAGTTCAGTTTTAGAGCTCAACAGGCAATGCGGAACTGTTCATAGGATCGTAGTAACTGCTACCTTTTTGGAAGTTTCTTAGGTCATTGATAAGGTCTGATCACAAATATGAAAATGTGGTTATCATACAATATGTCTATTGTTCCTACTCCCTACTCCCAATTAGATTTGAAGTCCGCAAGGAAGTGTATTTGGACCTACCCTGTACCTACTGTACAGCTCGCACCATCCTGTTATTAATTCTGGCTACCCACTGTGAACCTACATCGACTACCCAACATCTTCAGACCAACTGCACTTGCTTCAGGAGTGACTGACGACATAGAGGATAAATAGTTAATAGTAGTCAATAGTGTGTTCATTGATAAATGAACAAAAACTTATGAAAAGAAGCATAGAATCTACAATACCACACTGAGACCTATCTGAGAAGATGGTAATTATGGGGGACTGCTAAAACAATTCAAATGTTATCGCCAATAATTTAAGTTATAGATCCACCACCAACAAGTTGAAGAGATTGGATTCGCTCGACTTCCCATCAAAATCTTAGCACAAAGAGGAAGAAGAATAGAAAAGGAATAGAAAAATACAACTCACAAAATAAATAATGACGCACCACTGGGCGTGATCCTTCATTTTATTTTCATAACAAATCATAAAATACTGTTTATTATTATTTTAGCTAATAAATTAGAATTAATAGATTTCAAGAATCCAACGGTTAATTTATTTATACCAGTCCTATTCTATTTTAAATCTTTCTTCACAGTTACCGCTATTCATGTAAATTTATGACTCAAATAAAAACAATTACTAAAATGAAATGTAAATTCCTACAAAAATATTTTAGTGTGTTACTGTAGGAGTAAAAAACAACTAATTTACATAAACAATTAATTACTGCTTATCGCATCAAGAACATAATATATTATGTTTTAGAGCTATAAGTAATACTTATACAAAAAGATAAAATATTAAAAAGAATTATGATAAAAAATCAAAATACTTCAAAACATACACTTTATTTTAGAATTACATAAAAGTAAACAGATTGAGTCATCAGTTTATAAAGTCGCCTTCGTCTTCAGTAGTAATATAATAGTCTCCTGCAGCTGGAGCAGCAGCAGCAATTCCCATATAAGCAATTGCATTACTATCACATTTTCCATTTTCGAAATCTTTTTGAGATGAACAAGCTCGAGCGGCATAACGTTTCGGATCGTTTATAGTTCTAGACATAAATCGAACTGCTTCGTAATGACTGCAAGTGACTCCCCCTAAGATTCCACAGCTTGGTTGGACGGATTTACCCCCATTCGGCCAAAAATCGACAGTTCCGATTGATGTTGTAGTGCCATATGATCCACTACAAGTGTGGATGACATCGACGTATTCAGCTGCATTTGGAGTGAGAGGGTCGTCAATGCCTACCATAAGTGCGGGGTCTAAACCAGAAACTCTGCCTACTTTTCCATTGTGAGCATTTGCGGCAGCATATCCAACAACGTGACCACCTAAACTGTGACCCAAAAGATGAAGTTTCAAACGATCATATCCGTTTAATATTAAAACATCTAGAAATTTCGCTAAATGTTCTCCAACCATTTCAACTTTTTTTGCAGGCATTGAAAGTATATCCGTAGAGATTTTCTCGTAGTCAACAATAATGACGTTTACATCTTGTGTTTTAAGGAAAGCATCTCTCAAAGCGATACAAGACATCCCACTTCCGTTATTTAAGAATCCGTGGGTTATTATTTTCGTGTCTTTACTGAAGTCAAATCCAGCGGCTGTTAGATTTTGAACTTCAAACCCAACATTTATGTAATCATATTTGTTTTTGCTGTAATAAAAAATAAAAAATAATTTTATGTTAGGAAAAAAGGAAAACTTACGTGGTAAAAAGTCGGAAGGTTACATCTTTTTCTACATCGGTTGCTGCTAAAGTTGCTATTAAGTTTCAACTGGATTAGTTAATAAATAATAAATTTTACTTTCATTTACTTACCAGCGTAAAGAAAACCTAAAGCAATTAAATAGAAGGAACGTTCCATGATAATAACGGATTTAAACAAACACATTCTTTATTTTTGTGTATATATAGCTTACCAAATGCTATCTTTTTGTTGTATGTACATCAAAAATTAATCAATTTCTTGGATGATAAACATCTAAAATATCGTATCTTATTTAAGTATATACTTAAGTAAGACTACAGAAATTGATGAGTTTTTTTATTTTAAAAGGACCAACGCGTAGATAATAATTGGAACAAAAAAATCTGTATCAATAAAATCGAATTTACATTTAAGAAAAACAAGGTAGATATTTTTATAAATTGATTTTGAGTAATCGTTTACGTCGAAGGAAATTTTACTTGGTATATATTTTCTTTCCGACAAAATTATTAAAATTTATCCCTAAACGTAATTAATCATCCTGGTCACCGAGAATCCTTCTTCAGCAAGGTTAATTACGCCAAAAATGCTCAATCCCTGTAAACTAGGGTGTGGAACCGAAAGGCCCTAATTGTTTTCGTCGTTAAAATTAAAAGTTATAATCAGTTTTCGACGGAGTTTTCGATAAAATTTAATTCCAGTAAAATTTTCTATAAAACTTTTAATTGTCACTATGCCAGGTTTAAGGTACATACACATATGAATAAATGATGAAATGATGTTTGTTATTATGTGTGAAAAGGCCTCTATCAAGCGTAAAGGTGAACGAACCAATAGACACTATCAAATCACAATGAGACAGGAAATTAACATCGGCGAGACGCATTCGTATGTAAATTTTACGACTTGGGGATGAGGTTTACTACTCTACGGTTCACTCAATACAGTTGTTAAGAGAATATTGTGGTAATATTATTCTAGAATTTGGAATACCAAATTTGAAATTACATGTTATTCAGTTTTTTTTGTGGTAATAACTAATTTCTGTATTAAATTCAATAAGAAGTTTTCTTGTTATAAGATATTGACTTATTTGCAAAGGATTGCGAAGTCGAAAAAAAGCTTTTATAATCATTGAAGAGTAGCTACCGCGAAAATCAATTTAAGGTTCGTTCACGTACGTCTACATGAAGATTTATATTAGAAACGGTATTTCGAAGAGTGTAAATTTCACAGTGGGGTGCATTTGGAATTGGTAGAAGACGAATGGTTCTTCATTTTTTTTTCTAAAATCAATAGGAAATTGTTCCATAAATTTTTGAGGTAAGTTTCTCAGAACTATTATGTCTATTAGGTTAATATGTTTTATCATGTACATTTATACGGGGTGATTCGTTATGATGTATAGTTGGCATTTCCAAATAATCATACAAATTTGTGCGACTAGCCATTGGATTAGGTAATAATTGCTTTGTTGAATAGTTGATATCCAAAAAGGGAAAGTCGATAAATTTAGTTGTGTTCTTAGACGCAAAAGTATCATTTTATTGCTTTAAGCGAAATTTGGCTCTTTCTGATGTGGTAAAGATTATGAATCAACCTGTTTATTGCAAGCCGTGGGATACCATTAAGCTTGTCATGCCTAGACTTTGGTTCTGGTAAAAGGTGTCAGCGATGGTATGTGTAGGCTGTTGGATCTAGACTTAAATAACTTTAAATGTAGCATCGTATATCCCTCCAGAGATTAATGTTCTTTCTCTGTAGCCTTGTTTGTGCAGCTACGTTTTCTGTCCGTGAAGTACAGTTATGTTAACCCTTTTAGACATACTTTTTGTGGCTGATGAAGTAGATCAAGTTAGCACAAACTGAAAGAGTTAGACCTTCTACACATACATCTTCCAGCCATAGATGCATATAAAATGTAAATAGAAATGAAATTTCCTCACTGTAAAGTCTACAAAACTACTTTGCTAATTACTTTTTATTATCAAATTTTGCTATCATAGCAATGGAATAACTATTCATAAAATAGTAAAAATTAGAAAATCAATACAAATTTGAATAAAGTGATATTTCTCGGAATAGTGTTGAGCAAGCTGATTTATTCTTTAATAATCTTGTGCGATGTATTTATAGAAATATTGATGATTTTCAATCAACTCAACAAATTTAATAGTTTTCAAGTCGTCCTTGTAACCGTGAATCGTACGCGAAGCGACTGACATCACTGTATGCTCCACGAATTGCAGTTAATATGCTTAGACGATACCGCAACGATGCATAGCTCTATGTAGGCTTTCATTTACATCTATTTGAGATGCACGAAGGCGTACATCTTGCCACAGTCGCGTTTAGCTCGCTTCTGTAAGGAGTATATAGCTCTGTATCCAAAAGATTTGCATCATTTTATTTCATCACATATCTCTTATAGATTTATATGTGCGAGCTATAATATACTGTTAGTTTTTGCATCTGGTTACTTTACAATGTTTAATTGAACGAGTTATTAAGTTGTCATGAAGACGACAACGTAATCTCGATACTATTATTGCTTCGTATCTGCTGAATAGAGATATTTTAACATAACAGCTGGATATTTAGCTTAATTAAGATGTAATAATATCATAAGGCCAAAGGCTGGACAGCAGCATGATTTCGTTTAGTGAAATCGTAGTCTTTCTGGGGCACAGAACCATTTTTGTTCGAATAATCCTGTCATTCATTTCATTTTGTACACAACCTTTCTTCTGTTCTATACAAATACTTCTTCCCCCATCCTATACATGTTGTAGGCATTTTTATACCTTTTTGACATCTCTTATAGATGCTGTGTATAGTGAGAGGTAGCCTCATTTTGAGCAGTTCGCCCAAAACTTGGCAATTTTTCATTCACTTCTTTAGCAATCTTCCTTTCTTCTTTAGAATAATACATTTCCTTATAGTTAGTCACTCTTTATACACGAAATGTACTAAGAGCCATAGCGGAGTGATACCATACAAAATCTGCAGTTGTTGAATAACATTTTATTCTTTCATAGTTCTGGTATCCCAACCCAATCCAACTCTTTTCATGCTCTACCTCATCCTGACTACCAATCCATAAGGTCCCAAAATGTTTCAAACATGCTCGGTTAAGGAAAGAACAGGCGATTGAGGTGATTAAAAGATTCCGACATCAAAAAAGGAAGCTTGGTTTGGGTTGGAATTCATTTTAGGGTTAACTTTTAATGGGTAAACAACGACTACGCCATCAACATGTTCTCCGTAGAGGGTTTTTTGCAACATAAGAAAAACTTTGAGTTCAGTTGAGGCTAATTTTATAATTTATGTGCACAATTATCAATGTGTGTTGGGTTTGCAATTAATGAGCAAACAATGGCAAGTTAGGTTTGTTGGGTTTGTTTCTAGTGAGCAGAAAATTAACAATATCTCTGTCTCGTCTACGCTATACTAAATCTCTTCAGCCAGAACTTTATCAATCAATGTGAGATCTTGTTCTTCCGAACACATTTCCTAAAAAAATCACAATATTATTAATTAATATATAATTATACTATAATGATTGATCCGCTTCACTTTAGTTGATTAATTTAATCCTTAATTAAAAAAAAATAAATTGTACACTTAAAGTACACTTAAACCTCAATTGAACTTCAAGGTTCTATTTATTGAAATCGGAAGAGCTTTTAAGTTTGTAAAGGCAGAACGTATTAATTTCAGTTAAGTGGTTTCAACTTTCTGAAACGGTGTAATTTTATGCTCTTGTTTTTCAGCTAACTCTCAGAAACATTCGAGGTAAATCGATTCTTGTAACTTTTTTTGTAGAAAAAAAGATTTCTTAAATAAAAGTCGGTTTCATCTAAATCCTTAGAATACTTTTATTTTGATATAGAATATAAAAAACCGTCGAATGAATTCATATTAGATAAAATTGCAGCAAATGTAATAAAAGTTCTATATGTTAGTGACAATAGGAACCATTATAGAAGTGGCTTTAAAAGAAGCTCTTTAACCTCTTGTGCTGAATACACCATCAGTTTCAAGTAGAGTCAGACGTGAAGTCCTCTTTGAGGTCACATTCTAGGAATTGAAATAAAAAGTAGGTCGTTCATCAAAAAGTCTTTGTTAAAGTTGGGTTTTGTTGTTATCGCCATATAGGCTAAATTCTAAGAAGAGATTACTTCTATCAAAGCTTTTCAAATTTTCTATGACAAGATTTTATAGAAACGAATATAAAATTACTTTTAAAATAATTATTCTTTTACTTTTTTTTGTATATGTGTACTTTCGTTTGGGGATTCTAAATTTGAAGTAAGTTTCCGCTCGTTTAATTCAACAACGGAAATAAATCCCTGGAAATAATCCTTCCCAATTACTGTCCAATTCAATTCAACTCGATCCCTTATACGGATGACCTCACTTTCAATTTCCCTTGTGGTTCGACCAGCAATTGGATTTGTTTACAATGTATAGCAATTTTCTCGGTAAATATTGTTGGTAACTTTGTTTTCCATAACCAGGTAAAAATTTTAATTACAACCTTAATATTTATTTCGTTTTTTGATAGTTTCCATAAGAAAAGATTATTACGCTCAAATGTTTCAAAATTAAAACTAAACAAAATTTGATGCGCCCGAAGTGAAACGAACTAAGTTCCACTTAACTAAGGTTTGCTCTAAAATTACCGTAATAGTTACCAAAGGTAAACCTTGCAGTATATTTCTTTCGGCTTAACACCTGTTAAACGTAAAGTACACCCAATATATTTTACCATCCAATTCTTTTTAGAAAAAAAAACTTCATTCTAAGGTAAACTTAATTTACCGTTTATTTGTCGATTTTAGCTTTTATCTACTGTGATCAATGGATTTGTGGGATTCGAAAGGGTATTACAGCGTAATCCTTTGGATTAGGCTAGAATTACTCGTAGACTCTTTTAGTCAATAGAAAGTGTTTTGTAATTAACCACGTAATTGCATTCAATTAAATCCTTATTCTGAAGTAACACGATAATTGATGGAAATTGGATTCCAACTTAATTTTTGGGTCAATAGTTTTTTTAAGTGGATGTAATTTCGTCGCTGACATCTAATACATGCCATCATAACATGATTTACGGAAGTAATACTACTTTACGACTTTTCGAGATGACGCCAATATCGGGAAAGCTCCCGAGAGGGTAAGGAGTCACAAGGACAATATCCAGATGGTGAAGTAATTGAATGCAGACGAGTCAATATTCGAT